ACGGGGGGAAGGTGCGCCCCAGGACAAGGGGAGGGTGTGCCCCGGGACGGGGGGAAGGTGCGCCCCAGGACAAGGGGAGGGGTGTGCCCCGGGACGGGGGGAGGGGTGTGCCCCAGGACAGGGGGAAGGTGCGCCCCAGGACAAGGGGAGGGTGTGCCCCGGGACGGGGGGAGGCTGGCTGTGTCTCCGCTCAAAGTCGAGTCCTCGAGGAGCTCTGCTCACTCCAACATGCCCCTTCTGTGTCTCTGCAGGGAACTATTTATTTTTTGGCTGCCGCCAGAAATCCAAGGACTTTTACTGCGGGGCTGAGTGGCAGGAGCTGGTGAAGAGCGGGCACCTGACTCTCTTTACAGCCTTCTCCAGGGACCAGGTTAGTAACTGTGCAGGGGCCGGTGCCCTGTGACGGGCTTTCAATGTGGGATGGCTTTGCTGAGCCCCGTTGCTGAGTGACGGGCAGAGCACACCCCCGCCTGCTGCAGACTGGCAGGGGCTCTTTGCTAAATGGCAGACGCCTTGGAGCAGGACACGGGGTGGGGGGGCCTTGCATCCAAACTAGAACTGCTGCCTGATGTGTCCCGGATCTCGACCAGCACCGTGGCCCCCCTCCCTGTGCCCTTCGCTTTGCTTTTCTTTACAAAGAGAGCCCCTTGCATCGGGTCACATCGCCTCCCCCCTACCAAAGCAATCTCTCTCTGCTGCAGGCTGGGAAGGCAGAGAGCGGGAGAGAGGGGGTGTCATGTTATTTCTGTTGTTAAACCCGCGGGGTGGGAAGGGGAGGAGGTGAGTCCTGAGAGAGACGGGGTTGGGGATCAGCCTGGACACTCCGTGGAAATACGTCAGTGCACAACCTCAATTTCCAAAGCCCCCGTCCCGGGCCAAGGCAGAAAGGAGCGTGGTGACGCATTCCCAGCCAGTGCATGTCCTCGCCGGGGAGCTGTGCTCCACTTTGTGTGCCCCGGACGGGTAGAGTGGAAGGTGCAGCAAGAGGATGGCAAGCTGGGGGGACCTGCAGCCTCAGAGAAGGAGCCCTCCCTGGGCAGGAGAAGGCTGAGAGGGGCCTGCCTGGGGCACTGGGGACCCCTTCGAGCCAGAGGCTGTTTGAAAGGTGGGCACTGGGGCTGGCCTGGAAGAGGCCCCTGTGCAGGATTCCTGCAGCTAGGTAATGGCACCGTGCTTCTCCCCAGGGCACTGCTCCTGCACCTTGCTGCTGTCTGCTCACCTGTGGCATCTGCCCCTGGCTAGCAGGTGTCTGAGACCCTGCCCGACCTTTTCTTTCTCTGTCGGGCCATCTGAGAGATGGGCCCAGCACTCAGGGAGGGCGTTCCCACTGCTTGTGAGGGGCTGGCGCTGTCAGCTGCAGGTCCCCGCCGTCCTGCTGCCCCTAGCACAAGCTACACCCCACTCAGGCCATGCGACAGCCTTTGCAGGGTTCACGTGGCCTGCAGGGGCCTCTGCTTCCCGAGCACCCTGGACACCTCCCCTTCCCAGTCGAGGGCAGGTCTACACTACAGGCTGAGAGCGGTATGACTGTCGCTCAGAGGCGTGAACCGCCCCGAGTGACGTGGTTATACCGAGGTATCCCCCGGTGCAGACAGCGCTGTGTCGGCCTAGCTCCCGCCTCTCGGGGAGGCGAGTACTGAACCTACGACGGGAGACGCTCTCCTGTCGGCTAGGAGCGTCTCCACTGAAGTGCTACAGTGGTGCAGTTGCAGCAGGGCGGCGTTTTACGTGTGACCTGCCCCTGGGCTGAAGGGGGGGCAGATTCCAGAGACGCACGTAGCTGGTGACGCACTTCAGCCCTGAGAGGTGCTGGCAGTGAGTGGGGGGATGCTGAGCAAGAGCCCAAAGACTG